TAACAGCCTTATTCGCCAGATAGAGTCGGTTTTTTTTATTTCAGGAGCAATTCTGTTGTCAATGGTAATAATTGATCCTAAGTAAGTAAAACTCCTCACTGTTTCAAATCCATAAGAATATATTTCGAGATAGGGGTCTGGAACTCTTGATGAAAAACATGCCTTATCAAAATAATTTTAAAAGCAGTGTTGCTTAAGATAAGTTACATTATTCACAAACTTGAATTATGATGTATTGCACTTCTTGTGCATGAATAACATATCTGCCTAATCATCTATGATTACTATAATTCCATTTTGTCACACAGAATATATATTTTGTTTCGTGGTAGGTATAATACTTAGTACACAGAGTTAGTCTTCCTTTTATGCTAATTACCCAAATCAGATTGTTCCGATTGAGTTCCGATTAACACTTAACTTATGAATTATCTGATTTAACTTTGAAATCCTTTTAGAAAATGAACTAAAAACAAGCACCATCTATTTTTCTTTATAGAGTAAGAAAAGATTAATGTGTCAGTCTAATATGAGATACAGAAAACTCCGATGCTTGTACTTTTTCACAAGATTTTTTGACCAAACATACTTTGTTTATAATGCTGTATCTGTTAATACATTAAAAACAAAATAACTTATTTCATTAAAATCTAATCAATACTTTCTGATTATTAGGCATCAAAGAACAGTAAATAAAGAATATAAAATACAATTGAAAAATATTTTATTATTTTAAACACCAAGAAACATAAAATATAAGTCAGATCACACTAAAAGGCACATGCAATCATTCATTACAAAAATGTGCAGCATCTAAAGTAAACAAAAGAATTTTTCTTAGTCGCATTTAACTAAATTGTTAATGTGCCATCAAATTAAGAACACAAGCGTTTATTTCTTATCACAGAACTTAAGAAAGTAGATATTGTTCTACAAATAGTTAACAAGATATGGAAGTTAAATTTAAAACATTTAATAAGAAATGAGAAAAGATTTCAAATACTGAATAATTTTTTTACATTGATTTGGTGAAAATTAGTAATTAATACTGCATAGTATCAAAATATGGAAATATTCAATTCAATTTTTAATTTGTTTTACTAATATATAATTCTTAAACCAAATTTTACAATAAATTGTAAGCTGTTCTTATTTCTTTTGTCAAATTTACACATTTAAAAGGAACACGTGAAAGGGGAAAACAGGAACACAATATGTAAAGTAAAGGATAAAAAAGCAAAGCAAAGGATAAGAGCTATGACCAAAGATTTTTGCTTACAGCTGACAAGATCATGAATAACTCAGTTTAAAATCAGACTCTCTATTTAACGTAAAAATAAATTCTATTACATCAACCATTATGGAGAACAGAAAAACCACATGTAGAGTCAACTTTTTTTGGGGGAATAAACCAGTAAAAATGTTACAAAATTTTTGTTCACCAATATAAAACGAAAGTTTCTATACTATGAAAAGATAAATTTATAAATCAAAATAAATAATTTAGATAGAGTCAAAATATTTTTGCATTAAAGAAAAAGAAGTTCCATCAGATTACAATGAAAATTATATTAAACATAATTATTTATTTCCATACAACTTTTAATCACCCATATTAATTTTTATCAATGAACTTCTAAATTTAAAATAAAGTCAATTTTAAAAAATAGAGTCAAAATTTTCTTCCAACATTTACATACATAATCATTTCAATCAAAAAGGAATTTAGCAAACACATATTTGAAACAAATTTGTCTTATTTTGTTAGATTTATTTATGATTAAAATATTTAATAAATTTTAAACCTGTTAAATACAAGACCAATTGAAATTGCAAAAATGTTAATGAAAAGAAACAAAAGTTTCTAAATTGTGGGTCTCTAGATTCAGATTCTGCTTTTTTAATCTTCAGATTTTATAAATTAGTTATTAAAACAGCCAATTAAATATTCAATGAAATTAAAAGGACTAAATGATTTATTATCCTTCACATTTTAGCTACATGACCTCTTTTATCTAATGTTCTCATTATAGACAACACATAATTTTCATCAATAGAATGAACGACATCAACAAAATTCATGCAGATTTATATTTTTAAACTTTTGAGAAATAAATTTTTTAATGCCATGCATTGACACAAATTTATAAAAAAGGTTGACTTAATTAAAATTTAATTTTTACTACAGCAGAATTAAACAGGGATCTATTAACAAAAGTAATTTTGTGTTCAAAATGCCTCCCTATATTTTCTGTAGACAATAAAAAGGTTTAATTTTTTACTTCCACACTTCTAAGATACTAAAGAACATCAGAAAGACAGGTTCTTTACATCATTCCATGGATTTAGGTCTTTATAACGGTATTTATATAGTGTAGCTATACTTAATACAATAGTCAATATCATGCAATGTGGTAGTTTGTAAACATGTATGACAAAAATACTTTGTTCTTATTTATGTACGATTTAGAAAGACAGTCGCATTTGTATTAAAGTAGAAAAGAATGATAAAGTTGATATATATAGCACAGTTGGGGCAATGGTGAAAAAAAAACCCTACGTAAATAACTATTGATAGGTGGATACAATGATAAATTTGTACTCATTGTTTCAGAAAACTTCTTAAAAAATAGCATCTTTTATATAGAAATTTTGAATATATAAAAAAAATCTAATTCAAGAATTTATTTTCTTTAACCAGATGAAAAAAAAAAATTCATATAGTTTTATTGAAATAAAAATGGCTTCAATCGATAACAAGCAGAAATTGGATACCTTTACATTACTAAATCTTGCCCAAGTTCTTACTTTTTTTTTTATAGATATTTCTGATTTCAACTTTAGGGTTTGTCTTATCATGTTCTTCATTATCGGCAATAGTTGTCTAAGTAAACATTACAGAATGATAGGTGTGTGTGTGTATATATAACAGGACAGCCTGAATTTGAATCTTGCCAAAATACCTTATTGATAATAATAAAAATATGGGTCCTCAATTATTTTCTTCGGATTAAGCACTTGCACTTTGAACTCCAATAATTTCAAAGAGCGGAAGAGATTATTTTACGGATCTCATACAAAACAAATTACTCATTTTGCTTAGGACTATTTTTTTTGTTTAAAAATTTAACAGATACCAAATGCTTATGCATTATCTTGTTTGAGATGGACAAAATAATGTGGTAACTTTATATCGTATCTAACATTATCAGCAATCTTTTGACAACGATATTTACCAGAAGTTCCCAAAAAGTGTGCCGCAAGGTGCTAACTTTCAGGTCTAGCATAAATTATTTAATAGCAATATGTTGCTATTTAAATAGAATAAGTTAAAAAGTTCCTTCAGTTCAGTTTGAAAAGTGTTTTCAGTTCCGAAACCCCTGCCACACTAAGTAAATTTTCTATATTGTTCAGCGTGGATGCTGATTTCTTGCTATTTATATTTCTTTTTTTTTTAATTAGCAATATTTATATTATTATTATTAATGCCTTTGTATAAATTACGCTCAAATTACTTCTGTTAATTTTATGCGCAAGTACACATTCTCACCACTCACTTCTATAGTTTGTTTTAAAGATGCACACACACTGAAACATACATTATATGCATATAAAAAAAAATTATATGACTAGGGTACTATGAGATATTTCACAAGGGTGCTGCTATTTGCAAAAATTTGAGAAAATCCGATAGCCAGTACATTTCATGGAATTAAATAAGAAACTCGACTTTCTGATATGTCTTTGTATAACAAAACATACATAAATTTATTTTATTGTTTTATATCAACAGAGACATTTTAACTATCTTCACACAGTCAATAAAGTAACATAATACTAAGCACCAGAATAAAATCAAGTTCATTAACAGAAATAAAAAAAACAAGTAAATAAATTATTCAATAAATTAATGAAAAAGAAAAGTGAAAACACACACTTAAATAAGCTTAATTAAACAACATATAACAAAATATAAAAAAATAACAAAACTGAAATATTATGAAATGTGTTATTTATATATTTAACTTAACACAAAATGTTGATGCAGTAAAATATGGAACAAATTATTTACAAAGGAAAAGTTCCTTTTATTCTACTAATAGAAGCAAAGTATACAGAAATGCTCATTTCACTTTATTCTGTAAACTTTCCGAACATTTAAAACATTATCTATGATCATTAACGAGTTGAATAAACTCGCTAGGCATATAAATTGCTATTTCTCACTATTTCACCTGGTTGCTTTCTAGCAATATGTTCCTTTTTCCCCATGTTAATCAATGGAAAAATGGCAACAAAAAAAAAGAAAGAAAAGAAAAGAGGGGAAAAAAAGAAAGAAAAGAGGACAACTTGCCCAGATGCTTAATTTTTTCGAACATTAAGCTAATATTTTGTGCAATAAGCTATAGTAGAACTTAGAACTTTTTATTTTATAGAAAATGAAATAAATAACAAATGAAATAATGAGAGTGAAAGTAAATGATTATAAATGCAACATGAAAAATTTTTAATAAAAAAAAATTCACAATTACTGTGATTAAAAAAAGAAATTCTGAATTTTTATAATCGAAGTGAAATAAGTTACATACTAACTTTTTGCATGCATTAACATTTCATTGCTTTTCAAATTAATTAAAGCCTTTATAAAAAAAAAAAAAAAAGCTAAAATAATAACATTCACTATGATGGTAGATGAAACGTCATGAAAGCAATTTAAAAAGCAAAATATATAATACTTTAGGGTAAAAATAAATAGTGAAAAATTTGAAGAATATACTAGACAGATTTTTAACTATAGAAAAAGGTCTTTTACAAATTTAGTCATGAACTAATAAGGGAGAATTATAAATAATATATTAATAAGAAGAAACATTTTTTATATTAAGTTAAATAAAAAAAAAATATGGAATTAATAATACAGTACAGAACCCATTATCCGGAAATCAGAAAACCGGAACAAAATCTTATAAATTTTCCCGTTATTTAAAATTTTTTTTTTCTTTTCTTCCTCATAAGATTTTAGGATTTTTCTTTCTCTTTTGAAAGATATTTACCTTACCATCATTTTGGAAATAATCATTAGTGTATTACTTCATCGTTTTTTCTTCTTTTTAAGATTATTTCCAAATTTTTTTTTTTTTAGTTGGGTTTAACAATAAAAAGAACGGCTTTTCGTAGATTTTCAGAAAACCGGAAAAATCAGTTATCCGGAATAGCGATGGTCCCAATCATTCCGGATAATCGGTTCCCTACTGCAATAACTACAACTAAGCTTTTCAGTAAATTTATTATTAATGAAATCTTTTGCAAATATCAGAAACCGAACATAAAGTCAAATTTACTGAAGTCAAAGACAAGTTTTGATTTGATTTACAAAATACATTTATTGTAGAAACATTGCTCGATCTTGGAAGAAAAGGAAGTTGTGATTAGAAAAGGAAGAAAAAAATAATTGAGTCATTATTTATAAAAATATATAGTTAATAAAATGTGCTTGTCCATAATTCCTAGAAAACCTTAAAAAAATGATATTATGAGAAACAAAGTAAAAATCTCATAACACTTGAACAGAATGACATCTATAGATGCACACATCACACACACAAATATACAAACATGGACAAAATGATGTAAAAAAAAAGGGAAGAAACTATTTTAATGCTAATGTGCATTGTCTCCATTACTGTCAATTAAATAAGATAACATTTCCATCAAATCATTATGTCGCTTTGCCATGACTTCTTCCCGTTTCTTCTCTATTTCTTTCCATTCGTTCCACGTATTTTGAAGCCATTGAAGTATTTCGGAAGTGCCATTTTGTGGGGGTGCCTGTTTAGTGTCAGTAACTTTTCGCTGGTTGTTTGAATTAGATGAGGATGATCTAGATGTGACAGTGCTGGGTTCACGCTTGGTGGCATATGAAAATGGTGACACTTCTACAGTCATTTTGTAAGGTCCTGATGATTTAAAACATTTGAATGATGAAGGGTGTGAATAAAGTTCAGTTAATCTTTTAAAAAAGGCACATTTTTTCTTGTCCTTGTGAGTCTTGTTATATTTCATAGTTTTCTCAAAAGCTGAAGTAAGGACGTGGAATTTCTTTTCCAACTCCTTCGGTTCTATAGTATGTCCTCTTCTCTTCATTAGAAGACTCATATTTTCCCATATATTTCCCTTTCTGAAGTTAGAGTTTTTGTTGCTATGCTGATATTCCCTCAATAATTCCAAGAAATGCATAGTTATTAGACTGTTCCAATGAACTGTAACAGAAAAATAAATTAACAAAATACACTAAACCAATAAAACAAATATAGCAAAAAATATATTAATATACATGTATACACAGTCAGCATTAGTTATAATGATCTTTGCTGTTCAAACCATGGTTGGCTTTTTGCTGGCAGAAACTGGTTTTTGCCGTCCAGTGGCAGAAACTGGTTTTAACAGGTAAAAACCAGCAGAAACTAAAAAAACGTCTATATTAGTTCTAGTAATTGCTTAATGACATTTTGTTTAAGTGAACTGAAAAATGTAACTCCATGCAACTGTAACAAACTTTTTAATTCATAGTTTGTAAATATATATTATTTTGTTTATATTAAATATAAAGAGTGCAGTATATCAAATTGATAAAAGAAATTGTTTAGGTTCAGAAACTGCATCAAAACTTGTCTTTTGTTATAGATTACTGCAAAGTGCAAACAATGTAATATTTGATCTTGAATGGTGATAATTTTACAAATTTTTTTAAATTTGTTTGACTTTTAATTTTTTTTTTTTTAATATGAATTATCCACTGTATGTCAATCTCAGTATTTACTTTTATGTCATTTTCTGAACATCTGCCACAAATGTGGCAGAAAAGGGTTTCTGCCATGCCAGTTTTAACCGGTTTCTACCAGTGGTTCTAACCACCTCGGCAGAAACTTGCCAACCTTGGTTCAAACAAAAATAGACAAAACAAGAGTGAATGAAAACAACCTAAATATTTTATAACTGAAAATGCTTGATATATTTTAGCAAAATGTCATAAAATACATTTTTTAAAATAAATTCGTATGCAGCAATTTCGAATAAAATTAATGTGGGTAAACAAATATTAATTTGATTGGTAACAATGCAACTTATTTAAACAGGTAAAGGTAACAAAGATTTACAAAGCTGTTAACAATGGAATTCAAATAAGTAAAGATTTCTTTAAAGTAGTGGTAGATATACATGTTTTGTAGTAGTCTAAATATGGCATAGAATGGATTTTACTTGCTATAATTTCAGACAATTACCTATAAACTGTCACTTATAAATAAAATAAATTTAGTTGAGAATAAATATATTTACCAATGTAAACAACTTAGTAAGATGCACAAAATGGAACATGGAATGCTTACCAAGTATCATTGATTAAAACATTAAATTCATAATTATGATTTTTAAATGATTTACATCAACTAATTTTTTAATGTCATCTTACAAAATGAAAATTCTAGATAAAGCAAAGGAATTGGCTCATAATAAATTTGTTGCTTTTGTATAATTGCACGTAAATATCGTCAACAAATAACACTTTTTGTCAGTCAAGTATTATGGATAAACTGCTGAAAAGCTTAAAAAAAATCGTAAAATAACAAGAGGAATTCATTTTCTTTACTTTTCTTTTTCACTCATTTTTCCTTATAAACGTAAAAGTTAATCATGTTATCTTTAGAATACACATAACTCTCGCCGTTAGTGTCTGATTTCCTTCAACTTTTTGCCAAATTGCATTGATGATAATGTCAACTCGAATTAGTAAGTTTAAAGGCTTGAGAAGTCGAAAAAGGGAAAACAAAATCAGGAAGAAAGGAATGGATGGGATTTTCAGTAGACAAACTAGCAAATGCTAGAAAATTAAGATGGCTGGATAGTTCAAGAAAGAAGTTGAAAGTTACCTACAAACATATATTTTACACCAGTTTACATATAAATTTTGAATTTTTGATCAATTTTCAAGGAAAAAGCATAATCTTGGATGGGCTTATATTCGGAAATATAGAGTAAAAAAAAAAAAAAAAACTCTATTGTAAAGAAAATTATTTTAATTCTTATTATTAAGAATGAAATTTTTTAAATATCAAAACTATAAAAACAATTTTAATATTAAATAAATTTAGTGATTACTAATCTAAAATAAATAAATAAAATAAGGATACAATTAAAAATGCAAATTGTTAATTAACTGTTTAGCGATAACTGTTCAGAAGAAGCTAATTTAAATGTTTCACTATGCAAAACTAAAAACAATTTGATGTAAAAAATGCTTTTGAGTGAGGAATCTGATGACTTTTTATTTCTTACTGAGCTTAATATGTTGTAGCAGAAATCAAACTCAGTGGCTAATTTCTTTAAATATGACACTGGGCTAAATAATACACTAAAATTTATGAATAACAGACCAAGTGTTTCAACCAAACGGCTGTTTTAGCTTCATGCTCATATACCGATCGCTTTCATTATATTTTACAGCCATAAAAAATTCATAAATGTTTAAGATGTGCACATTGGTGCAAATTTTTAATCATGTATTTAATCAATTGATTTTTCGTTTGCAATGCATTATGAATCCATATCAGTACTTTATCTTTACCCCAAAAGATCTAATTTTTTAAACAAATTACATAATTTTAAAAATAAATATTTGTATGATTGAATTTTCAATGTCCTATAAATATTAAAAACGTCAGATTTTCACAACGACAATTTTACACATGACTTTACAAGACTAATTTGTTTAGAAAACTGAATTATAAATTTTTATTCAGTCTCCAGGCAGCCTAAAATAAGATATCATGAATGAAATACTATAAACCAGCATTTGCTGCTAATTACTATTTTCTTGTAAGATCTTAAAACAAAGCTACTTAAATTTTAGTTTTACATTCTTCAACTTTTATAAATTAGGAAACAATTTCTTTCTGCAAAAACTAAAAATAAATACTTACAAACAGTAGATGCTGCAGAAGAGTTCAATTTCTTTTTGCTATTCTCAGTTATCTTACCAACATGTTTGCAGTCGTGGCCGTGCATGTCATTTGATGTACTAAACTTCTGCATACACAGTCCACACTGAAACAGTGGTTGGGAGCGCTGGTTTTTTGCTGTAGCTTTTTTCTTAGCAGGTGATCTGGAAGATTTTTGAGACTGAGTCCTCTTCTTAGTTGTTACAACAGTTCCTAAATCAACATGAGAAGCAGGTACAGATTTTGATGATTTCTTTTGTGCCTTGCTATTCGTGTTGTTGAAGCGGTCACTGCTGCCATTTCCATTGAGTTCTGATGCATTCAAAGAATCTTGATCATCAAAATAATCTAAACTATACAGATCAGACAATTCTTCAGAGAAGGGCATAGTCCTTTTTATAACATGCTTATTATTATATTCAATTGTACTTCTATATTTTGTGCGTAAATATTTCAATTTATTACGGACATGTTCAAGTGTTGCATCATATCCTATGAGATGGAGCTCATTAGATATATCCTCTAACAATTGCCTTTTTGTGTAATTAGAATCTTTAAACTTTGGAATATAGTGTTTAGCTAAAGCAATCAAAGATCTTGTCTCATCTTCCAACCACACTGAAAAAAGAAAAGAAAAATGATTTCATAAACAAAAATTCCTTAAACATAATCTATAAATATTGAAAAATAATATAGTCAATCAGAAAAAAGAGAGAATTAAGTATTTTGTTCTTTTATTCAATTCAAATCAAGGCACCCTAACGTTTTAAAATAAGGCAATGAAGATAAACTTTTAAAACTTTTCATTACTTGAATTGAAATTCTTTGCAAAAAAAAATCAAGAAAATTTTTGTTTGTTAAACAAAAAATAAAGGCTAAAGAATTTTCATTTAAAGGGTAGCATATTTTTAGCCAAAAGAACAATATAGATGTAAATTGAAGTAAAAATACAAATTGTATAATGGATTAGAATTTGAGTTTGGTCTGCAATCAAATTTTGTATGTTAACTCTATAACCTTGAAATATATTTTTAGGTTGCTCTTACGTAAATAACAACATTCCAAGGCTTCGGCATAGAAATAAAAAAACTAAAACATTGTGCAATAAAAATTAACATCTCAAAAACTGATTTTTTCTTCTTCTTTATTTTGTTTTATGTAAGGGTACATAATAATTAAGAGTTCAAATTTTTTTTTTTTTAAATGAACGACACTATTACAGAACTAATAAAAAGTCAATTCTTTGTCAGTTCAATGAATCATCTGAGAAGTAGAAGATTTAAAAATTTTGTTTTTATAACTTCTCAAACTCTTAGGAATAGCATGAGCAACAGAACATGCGTAATAGGCTTTTTATGTACAGAGATTCAAATCTTTTTATAGACGAGAAGTAAGAGGTGGTAATATACAGTGCTGCGAGTTGATGACGTCAATATATTGTTGCATACTGAAGATTTTTATTTGAATCTTGAACCAATATACTAGAAAGAGGGGTTCCGCTTCTTTGCACCTTTCAAAGTTTATGCCTGCTTACAATGATATCGGCAACTCATTCATCGACATTAAAGCTAATTATTATTTACTGTAATATTTGGAACATTTCAAATTTTTTACTGTGAAATATTGTCAAAAAAGTATGAAATAATATAACAGTGATTTGTTTTCTTTTCCTTTTTTTCCCACTGGTACAGTTAAGTTTAATTCTAATGGTTAATTATTAAAAGCAGTAGATTTTTTTTTATAACCAAAGACACCTACCGTATCAAAAGTATGTTTGGTCAAAGATATTGTGAACAACTTAGGTTCTACAGTAAATTAATTCTAAAAATCACTTCCTAATGTTAATTACATTTATTTAAACAAATAGGCTTTTTGAATTAATCTAAAATCAAGAAAGTTTAGAAAAGTAATAACAGAAATTTGGGTCTTTCACAAATCACTATATTTAATAGTTCTCTGACTCGGTTTGCCATAATATGGGTACTCTAAAAATTGTAGATTTTAAGCGTTTTGAGAGGAAAAAAGATTGGAGCAGGACTTTTTAAGAAAAAAAAGTAGGTACTTATGATAATATATCAACACATGTAAATAGAAAGTTTAAGTAGAGTAAAATTTCTTCTAATGCGGTGTAGTAAAGTACAAGATTTTCCAAATAAAAAATTCTGAAAATATTAGCTATGTGATAGTTAAAGAGGAAGCATTTTTTAATTATCTAACTTTTCTGTTCCTTTTAAGGTTATATCATTGAGATTAAAATTTTTTCTCATAAAATTCAAGAATTGACAATTAGTGAAGGAAATTATCAATCATCACCAACAGTCACTTTTTAGGAACATTTCTAACAAGGGACATCAAGTACAAAGAAATTATTTTATAACTATTTATTTCTGTTTCTGAACTATCTAGAAGAAAATATAACATGTTTATTAAACTATAAATTGGTTTCCTTGCATTCAGCAAAAATTTCAGTTAATAGACAAGACACCTTTTTCCTTGAAATTGGGTAAAATTTTTGAATTTGATGATAATTTGATAATATTCATTGTATTGTGTCTAAAAAATACCTCAAATTTTTCTAACAAAAATGTTTTATAAGTATGATCATTTTAGTTTATTTTACATTTATTATTGTTAAAAAGAACATTATCGAAAATTGCAATTAGTGCATTAAGGTTTACAAGTTGAATTTCTTAATAAACCAGTCTATTATTTAGGAACCTCTTTTGGTATTATTTGTTTCTAAATTTGTTATTTATATGCATTTTACTTTTATCTCATTAATTTTGAAGCCTTGTGAATTGAACATAACTTTCACAAACAATGTAAGTAAAAAATCTGTAAAAATAAGAGAGTGTATATTTTTTGATAAAATTGACAGAACACAATATCCAACTTTAAATCTTAAAATAAAATTTAAATATATCCAGTGGTGGTAATGAGAGAAGCTGCTCATTAATTTAAAATTAAGCAAAACAACGTCTTCATATTTTACCTCTAAGAGTATTAAGAGTGCTTTATCAATTATAAAATTAGATTTAATTTTTTTTATAGTTACATCATAATTATCTATCTAGATTTTTTAAACTCGGAGAGATTAGCTTTAAACAAATAATGACCCTAATTGTCGGATTTTTATTTCACTTCCACCATAATAAGAACATTTAATTGAAAAACTTTTGTTTTCTACTACAACATGAATAAAATATTCATGAATCAATTTTAAGCTAACTAATGTAAGCGGAGCAAATTTTCTAAAATGGTTTTTATAATATAGGATATATTATTAAAATTACATACAGGTCATTCTACAATACCTACTTGTTAGGTATGGGACACTTCACAGCAAAATATAGGTATTTTATAATAAAAACACAAATAAATATTTTAAAAATTACTCTTAATAAATTCTTTAGATCCAATGATCTTTTTTGTAACTTCCAAATAATTTCCTTTGTAAAGTATTACTTTTCAAAATTTGTGTAAAAATCAATTTTCTAATCACTAATTTAAATTATTTGATGAGATTTAAATTATTTATACCTTATCCTTAAATTATTTATACCTAGATTTTCTTAATTTTTGTATATGAATCTTTTCCAATTACAGTTCATTTTAAAGTTGTTCAAGACTGTTATTAAGAAAAGAAACAGTTTACAAAATATTATTTACTCACTTATTACAGAGAAAAAAATTAATTAGTTCAAACGTAGCTTAAAGCAAAATCATTTATAACTTGTGTTGAGAAAAGCAATCATTCATATGTGAGAACAGCACAAGTGCCTTATAACTTTTTTTTACCACCACCGTATACATTAAATATAAACATTTTAATCACAAAAAAAAAAAAAAATTCATCAGTTTAAGGTAATATTTTAAACAATAATTTAAACTATTGCACACAGAAAATATATATATATATAAACATTGAAACAACATTGAATAACCCCTTAAGTGACAGGAAAATTTCATACACTTTCACATTATCTTAACTCTTGATTTGACTTGAATTGCTGAATAATTTCAAATGCAACAAAATTCATGGAATTGCAAACCAAGAAATATTAATTAGAAAGCAAAATATAAATCAGTAGAAATGAATCAAAATCCATTTGCAATAAGAAAAAATGCCACCTCCTTAATGGTCCAGAAGAATATCTAGTTCACCTCCCACTAAGAATAATAGTAATAATTATAATATTATAAAAAATTATAAGTAACTAATTATAGTAATTAAATTAATTGTTAATATGGCAAAAATCGGAGAGACACAAATAATAAAATGATTTTTTGATGCCATACACCGAGCACTGAAGTAAGTAAAAGTGTCCTACCGTTTTTATGGCAACATTAGTTTGTTAAGGGTTAAAAACCTAAAATCTAAAGTTTGCATTGATAAATTAAATAAACTAGAGTAAGACCAAATGTATAACCATATTAATAGTAAATGTTTTACTTTTAAAAGGATGCAAGAAAGCCTAGTTTGAATATTTTTTTCCTTCCTCAATGCGTTATGTAATTCACAAGTTCTTAGTATCGAGCTTCGATTTCTTTTAAAATAAACAGATTACATAGTTGATTAATCTCAATTTGCCTCAAAAATAAAAAACCTGCATTGAGTCTAATTTGATTAATGCAAAAATTCAATTTTATGCATATAATTGTTGTCACTTATCTACAGAGTATTTTCTGCTGAACAAAATCTGGTTTAGCTAAAACCACACAAGATGTGAGCATGAGGATTGATTAGTAGAGATTTGAAAGGACATAGGAAAATATTCTTTAAAAACCAGTGTCTGATTCCTATTACTGTAAGAAAAAAATTAACTAAGTAAATGCACTGTTATTACCTTAAATAATTTAGTATACTGATTATTAACAAAACTATCATTTAATTACTCAAAGTTACATTAAATGGGCAGTTAATCATATTGTTTCCATGCTGTATGCAAGAAACTTGATTAGTTGAAGGTAACAAAAAACTACAAACACGGCTATTAACAAGTTGTAATCTGTGGAAGTTGGGGTGTAGTTAACAGATATTTTAGTTCAAAACGTGACACCACTTAAAACCATGTTTTCTATACAAATATAGCTTTAAGAATAATTAATTTATGGCTGCACAAAGAACATTGTAATTATTAGTATACATTTATTCAAAAAAACCTCTAAAAAAATTACGACGTTATCTAAGAATTAGAATAAAAACAGACCAGCTGATAAAATTCAAAATAGTCTTCTGTCACACTACACTGGTTACAAATCACACTCTGAATGTTATCGTGAAATACAGAGAGGTTAAAATTAAACCGACAGCATTCAGAGGTCCATAGCTCCGATTCCAACGAAAAATAATTCAAAATTTGGCCCACAGTTGTCACTATGACACGGAAAATAAAAATATATCAGTTAAAAAATAAAAGAACAGAATATTTTAATAAAAAATGTGGTCAAATTTTGTTTTGACAGAAACCCCAACCCCATGATTTACATATGTATTTGAAGTTTCATCCGGATATGTTCATCTCAACCAGTGCTTCGAGCCTCTGAGTACTATTAGATTATTTAAAACCATCTTATATATAAATTTATAATGTGCAACGTGTCAGAAGTCTCATTTTTACAAAGAATTTGTTTTCTCCTTATCCTTTTTATAAAGTTTTTAACAATTAGATTATACTGAAACATTAAATATAGTTTGATTTTCTGTTAAGAAAAAAGTGCTGGCTTGTAGAATCATTTTATAAAACTAAATGGATATTATTTAAATGCCTTTTAAAATAAATAAATTTTAAAATTCATAAAAATGCTTTTAATAAAATCAAGTTTCTGAAATTCAGTACAAATGTAATAGGAAATGAAATGAACATTCTTCCCTTCTGAAAGGAATTAAAATTTTCTATAAACAGTACAAAAGGCAGTCTTTTCATATGCTAGAAAAATAAGTAATGAACTCTTAGAAATGAAATTTTATTCAACAAATTTGAATTTTCTGGTGATACGTATGCTTGTTAAAACTATATTTCAACATTTTTGAAGTATGAATAAATATTTAACCATTACAGAAGTGTATATTTAATGCTCCCACTTAAGGGGTAAACAAAAATTAATATTATTGAAGAATTATTTTATTAGAGAAAAATATCTTACCTTCAATTACTTTCAGGCAATTTTATCAGATCAATTTGATTATCTTTATTACAGATGCAAAACAGGAAAAATATAAACCAGATTGCACCAAATATTTCCTAAATTTAACTGGAAACCAGTTTAATTACGCATTGTAATAATAGGTAAAGACTGATGAAACATTTTCAGCGACAATGTTCTGAACAAGTAGAAATTACTAGTAGACGGACCATCCAAATACGAACCATCACATTAATTATTGGCAAATCCACTCACAAACTTTTCAAACATAATAATTTCAAAACGCGTTTAATGTTCGAATGGCAGTTGCACTTTCCTAGTCTGACCAGTGCACTAACAAAATTAAAAGACTCACAGTGTAATTTCTCAAAGGATAATCAGAAACTTTTTTTTTCCTTTTCAATTTAATATTCTGAAAACAAAAATCTCTGACAAGAGATTCCCAAACAGAAATATTCTTTTTCAAATAATTAGAAAGGTAAAGGAGCAAGTTTTTGTCCAGTTTTTTCTTTGTCGGGGCACTGGTCAGCTCAACGCTACCCAGACTACATAACTTCCCTTTATAAGTAATTTTAGGTAGGCTATAATTTTATTCAAAAGATTAAAAATTTCTATATTGGAAAATAGTTTAAAAAATGCAAATTAATCATAGTTTCACAAAATTATATTAAAAAAAACTATTATTTTAAATTTAATATTATATAATAGTGTATAAAATAGTCAAAATATGCTTGCTTTTAAACCTTTCTATTTTCATTTTAGTTGGAAAAACTGATTATCACAACTTTTGAGGAAGAATTAATCATTATCTGAAAAGTACAGGATACTTTAAATTTTTCTAACCCAGCTTCAAAGATAAACCCCAACATGAGATCAGCATTGCTTGGCCATTCATCTATGATGCATCACTATTTTATAACTGATATTTATTGTACGGATATTTTAACTACACTAATGTTATTATCTACATTATATATTTACTTTGATTAAAGTGCAACCACCCGTAAAATAATTAAGAATCGCACAGTTCTCTTCAGTTTCTTATAAGTTATCATAATGTTTTAATGATTTGCTAATATTAATAAAAGATTCATGATAGAATTCAGTGTAAACAACGACACCGTTTGAGTTAATAAGAAATACAGGTTTTAAGCACACCCAGCTTGTTAAGAAAACTTATCTTTTCACTTAAGTTAAACGAAAATACTTAGTTCTCCAGTTTAAATACAAAAGTAGTAGGTGTCAGTAATGATTATTTATGCGCCACAGTGACGAAGTGCTTAGGATTTTCCAGATTTTTGATTGGGACAGTGACCTGATGTCGGCACTTTGAGTAATGTACTTAATTAGAAATTAGTTAAGTTGAATAAGAAAATGCCTGTCTCCAAAACTGTTTCATAATATTATAGTTGTACCTTTTAAAACCATTGTGATTGATAATAATTTATGGTTATATGAATAATTTAATAAAATATTTTCTTTAACCCCTTCCTTCTCACTCCCGTTAAAATGATGGGGTAAGGTTTCGCCCTCTATTTCTCGCTCCCGTGATATTCCCGGGCGGGAGTGTTCAGTAGTAACACGCAAATAATAATAAAACTAATTCATTTCTTTCGCCCGTAAAAATTTTATTTCTCATTTTACACAACAGATGACAGTACCGGAATATTTTTAAGGTAAAGATGTTAGAACTAATCAAATATGTGTATAATATACGTGTATAAAAAAATAGGCACTTTCATGACCGTTTTCTTGAAAATTAACAGATCGTTAAGGGGTTAACAGATGTAACATAAAAAGCTTAAACAAGACTTTTTATGCTATTTCTTTGTCTAAATTATCTTTTTTAATTATTATTCAGAACAAAACTCGTTCTCAATATTAGTGATTGATCTGTGGCATTTCGGTTCTAATTCAGATTAAAAAATGCAACAATTATCATAAGTTTTACTCCTTAGGAAATATGTAATCCAGTCTCGCAAAGTATTCTAATCAATCATAATTATTATATTATTCCTTGTCAGATACGTGAGCAAGATTACTTGCGATCTTTCCCTTTTAAAACCCCATAAGTAATAGATGATGCATGTCGTTTACAGTGTGATTTTATCATCATTCATTCCCACCATAATGAGGAAATAAAGAATCACTTCTGTCTCTCCTGATTTTGTCTCTAATGGCTTGACAAGTTTTAGATATGGCGGTCATGGTTGAGTGTTGGGCAAGCAAGAAATCAAGCAGGGTGAACAGAATTGCTCTTTATTTGGACAATATGGTGAAGAAAAATAACAAAATCATACTGAAAACAATAGACATTGTTTTTTAATTAAGAGATTTTAAAAAAAAAAGATCACTCACAACTAATACTGATCAGATAATTAACGAGGAATACAAAAATTATGATAGGTTAGAATACTTTGTGAGAAGTTTCTCTCAGGATTTCACATTTCCTTGCCGTAAAAACTTATTATGGAAAGATTTCCATAACGTGATCTGTGGCAGAATAATCGCCAAGTCTTGGAAACTTCTGGGCAGCGGCGCACGAAAAACTAAAAAAAAAAACCATCACAAAAAGGGACCAACTCGAAAGGTATAACTCGTAACCACCCCCAGGTAAACATCTACATGTTTAAAAAAAAAAAAAATTGCAAGTTTAGAATCTATTTGGCACTTTGGCAATTTTAGTTGATGCAACAGATCACGATATGGAAATATCCCCCTTATTATGATAATTACATATTATTTTCCTAAATCTAAAGTTAGAACTCAACTGCTAGACGTGAATTACTAATATGAGAATGAGTTTAACCCTGAATAATGAACAAAAAAAAAAAGAAAAGAGATTCTAGATAAATAAATAACATAAAAAGTTTTGTTATACCTTTTTATGTTACACACACACATGTATATATACATATAATGTTCAACAAAAGGCCGAAATTGAAATGTTTTATATAGCTACCAGCTCACGTGCTGAAGTCAGCATTTAATGAATGAATTAGATTCTTCTTCGTTAGCGAGACTGTTATCTAACTAAGAAATTCAATTATTAGCAACATAATAATAAATTTTCTTTTATAAAATAAATTCCTATTACTTATCAAAAAATTGGCATTCAGAACCCAAATAGATTTAAAAGACATTTTAAATTGATAAGATCTTTACGTATTTTCTATAACTTTGTAGACAAAGCAATTTGGTCCTAAGAATTTCGTTTAAATAAACATTAAACTACAAAAAATGAATGAATTTAAATTATCTGCAGATGTATGATAATATGACAATAAATTTTAAATGTTCATATTTCTAAATGTATCATCAGAGATAGTAAGTCAGTTAGGTTGTGGTAATTACATATGTGTCTCGTAATATTCTACTAAAAAACTAGGAATATCATAACTACAAAATTATATTTAAATAGAACAGCTAGTAAAAATTTTTCTTAAAAAGTTTCAATAGAGCAGTTAGATAATTAAATGACTTAAGAAGCATAAAAGCCAGGTTTTAATGAGCCATTTTCGTCATCTATTTAGAAATTAAATTGTTAAAAAAAATATACTCATTAAAATAAGTCACAGTTCCGCTGCTATTAAAAGCTAGTTTAACGACTTTAAACTTATTTAACGCAAATTACATTATTTGAAGAATTGATAACGCAAGTAGGAGGTAAAATAAATGGAAAATCATATATCTCGATGCGTCTTTGAACAGACTTTTGTCAGCCGAAAAAGCTACTAGACATATTTTTGCTGCTTTAGATGGACAACTGCTAGTTTCAAAGTTAACTATATAACTTGTCAATAGATAAGTAAAATCCATGTTTAAATAATACCTTCAAATAAACGATTTAATCAAATACTACGATTCAAAACACAAAAGTGACTGGTTTTATGATTGAATTTGAATTAAAACTTGGCTAACTTCTTCAATCAGTATTAATAATTATCCGGTTTGACAAGCAAAGATGCTAATAAATATAATTACCTTTAGAAGCTTTCGCCGAAGAGCTCTGTTCAGACTGATTCTGAGAGGAGTCTTGGTTATCAACTTGCTCAGGAGATTCAGTATCTTCAATTTCTTTTTTGATCACAACTTCATCAGTGGCACTAGCCATTGTAGCAAAAAATTTCAATACAAAACAAAACACACTTGCACTTTGAAAACAAATCTTCTTTAAAAAATAAAAATGAAGGTTATAAAACTAGAGAGAGAAATTACTTAAAGTAGAGAGTACAGTAGATTGTTGTCAATATAAGTTAATCTGAAAGTATAGATGGCGCAATTAAAGAGGTCACTTCAAATTCTCACTGTATGACTTTGTTTGGAAGAGGCTGTAAGGCCGTTCTCGCTTTATGTAAAAAATTTGCAGCTGCGAGTGAGAACGACCTGCAAAAACCTTACAAATACCATTCTCGCTGGTATCTCCAAATGCGCATCCGGGAATTCAGTACGGAAGTAGACTCCGACCCAAGTCCGCTTCGCTCTTTAGTTGCTTCTAATTCTCACTCTTCATTGAAGATCAAGAAAAAAGAACGATATAGGTATATTTTTTACAAAAAATTATTATTCGACTGTCATCCGTTGCATTTAGAAAATTATTTAGTTTTGGTTAGGTTTGAGGATTATTTAGTTAGGGTAATTCAGCTTTCCGCGAGAGTTATTACGCAGAGACATGCTGTGGTCATGCTGTGGAAATCCTAAAAAGGATTCTCTATTACAGTTCTTTTCCGTATGCAACTCATTTTTTCTCTTAGAATCAGCTTTAATGTATAAGAACCGTTAACTTGATCTCATTAAAAGTTTCTTTTCTTAAAATTCAATAAAAGATAATTTTATTTATAGGATATATTATTATTGTAATTTTATGTAAGAACGTTTTATTAATATTCTAAGAAATTTTATTAATATTTCGTATGTAAGAAAATTTTATTGAAATTTGCAAACGTAACGCTCGAATACGCCTTATAGAGAGAAGACCGGTTCCATGGCTTTCCTCTCCTCCTCTTCTCAGTTGTATAGTAATATACTACAATATTTTCTCTTTTCTTACTATTTTTCGTATTTAAATGTCACAAATATTTCTTAAAATTTCCACGACGCTTTCTTTTGGATCTATTTTAAATGTAGTTTTGAAAATCAATCAGTTTGAAAATCGAGACAGAGACTAACTCTCTTCCTTCTCCTATGACTTTCCACACGCCATTGGTGAAAGCATGTTAAGTGTTGCCATATGTAGAGAGCTCTGCTCTATGCCACCTGTTATGCTCAAAAGTATTACAGGTGGTAATTGCTATTGGTAATGCAAAAGAACAGGAAACCAATAAGAGAGCGAAATGATCTGGTACTAACACATTGTACTTCAGAGTAAAAATCTGAGAAAAATAAAGGATGCGAGATCATGCCAAAGGAGTAGTGATATTCATTTGGACATAGAGATTGACAGTTTCGATCACCACTTTTACAAACTGAATAGAAATTTCTTCGACAAAGCGTTGAACTGTAATGCTGCAAAGTTTAATTTAACTTTGACTATGAGAATCTCATAGAAAACGCATCCCTGATTCCAATTGCACACTTTTTTACTAGTGATGCAACACTGACCATTTGAGTTTTAACTCAATGGTGCATATATAGTGATATTTTATACGGCAATACATATGACGATATTTGGTATGAATGTACAATAAAAAGAGAATGTAAATATTCTTAAAGCGTCGACACAAATCAGCTTGATTTCGAATGTCACCATTAACTAGACTAAGCTTTAGACTGATGAATAATAGTTGCGTGATGTATAGTTGAGATATGTATTTGTTTTGTTGTACAGACGAACTTCGTATAGGAAGTATAATTTTGATTATATATATTTTTATGTACTGATACTTGTATTTATATTTATTGTTATTAATGTATATTAATGCCATCGAGATAGCAAAGACTATTCAAGCACACCATGAGATGTGATGTCTATTGAAGATATGATTAAATAGAGGATATGTCGTGTATTTAGNAAAGACATCACAAAGAATACATCCAGGGTTACGGCGGGATTCGAACCCGCTACCTCCACGCTTAACAGAGCGTTTGGACCAGCGATACCGCTCGGCCAGGGAGGCCCCAACGTGATGTATAGTTGAGATATGTTTTTGTTTTGCTGTATTGACGAACTTCGTATAGGAAGCATAATTTTGATTATCTATATTGTTATGTACTGATACTTGTATTTATATTTATTGTTATTAATGTATATTAATGCCATCGAGATAGCAAAGACTATTCAAGCACACCATGAGATGTGATGTCTGTTGAAGATATGATTCAATAGAGGATACGACACCAACCAACCGCTATGTATGTATTGATGATACGTACTTGGGTAATGTGCCCATTTATTAATTCTTATTTCTAGGTGACAAGGACCAGAAGGCTTACCACCTTAACGATCCTGACCTCATGATGAAAGGGTAAAGGGCCACTTCGGCCTCAGGCATCCTTTCAAACAGACACGACTGCCACCTGTAACCCATTTCGATTGCAATAAAAGCAATTTTACCTTTACGTAAATCTTATATTATATTAACAGATCGCATTATAAACAGTTTTATCTTTCTTCATTTTCAATCTTTATAATATATAAAAACAAAATAAACAGAAAAAGAATTCAGAAGAATCCGCAAGCATGAAATAAGCCATACGCTCGAACACGCTACCTGGGAAGAAGGTCGCTTCTATATCTTGACTCTTCCCCTTGACTCTCTACCTCTACTCAGTTGCATGGGCAAACGATATTTTCCTCTTCAATATTATTTTTGGCATAATTAAAAATATGTTTTAATATTTTCACCACGCTTTCGTTAAGAACTATGTCGAATGTACATTCATGTCCATAAATTAAGGATAATGAAGTTCAGGCACAGAAAGAGACAGAAGCCAAACAAATTTGACTTATTTGTAAAGTCTACGTATTAAACAAAAAAGGTAAAGAGCAAAGAAGATGCTATATGTTTGACATAATTAATAAAAATTGCGATTTTACTCCCTGGTGCAAATTTCAGAAAAGAACCTATTTACAAAATACAGTATAACATGGTTAGTATGATGGTTAATACGGAGTATGTCTCCCGGACGATGCAATACAGGCCGTACAACGCCTAGGCATGCTGAGTACCAAATTATCAATCTGATCTTGGGGAATATTACACCACTCATCAAGCAATGCCCTCCGAAAGTCCGGTAGACAGGTGGGAGGGGGTTGACGGGCTGCAATTCGTCGGCCAAGCATATCCCACACATGCTCTATTGGATTCAAGTCTGGTGAGTAGGCTAGCCAATCCATACGGGTGATATCCTCCGATTGAAGGCATTCGTCTGCAATGTTTGCACAGTGAGGAGGGCGTTGTCGTCCATAAACAGAAATTCAGCACCCATGGTGCCCCGAAACAAACGTACATATGTTGTTCCAGAATGACATCCCTATAGATGTGGCCTGTCATCGTTACACTCTGAACATGCTGGTCAGTTCTGGAACCAAGAATAATTCCTCCCCAAACGAGCAATCCTGCACCACCGTAACGGTGTCGTTCAATGGTGTTGTCGTGGTTGTAACGGGTACTTGGCGCTCTCCATATGAAAGTCCGGCGATAATCAGACTGCAAACTAAACCTGGACTCGTCGGAAAACATCACATAAGACTACTGTTGCGGTGTCCACAATGCATGCTCTCTACACCAGGCTAATCGCAGGCGACAGTGAGTTGCGATAAGTGGAACACATCTGACAGGCCTACGAGCAAATCGACCAATGTGCCCTAAGCGTCTGTACACGGTCTGCCTTGAAGCTGTCGTACCGGTAGCTGAAGAGAGCTGACGAGACAGGTCTGATGCTGTGCTCCGTCTGTTTCTTTTGGCAGTAACTGCCAAATACCGGTCTCCATTCGGCGTTGTAACTCGGGGAAGACCTGTGCTGTAACGTCTACTCACATTACCATCATCTTGGAATCGTTGCCAAAGCCTGGAGATGACACTCTGGGTGATTCCAAGTTCCTCGGATACTTCCAGCTGGGTACGTCCAAATTCCAGTCGTCCAATGATTCTGTCGCGTAAAAAATCATCCAAATGCTTCCTTTGTGCCATAACTATGCGGTTATTGCACTGAAAGGCTTTTAAAGCGCTCGTGAACAATTTTACTTCTTTGTCACCATTCCTTATATACCCCTTTCTTACACTCGTCATTGTGACGTACTACCAGCGTCATCTAGTGGTTTCCTGTAATTTGCATATTCTTCTTCAGGATGTGTGTGATAATTCTACAGGATGTGTGTGATAATTCCGTGCGATTCTGAATTATCCTTAATTTATGGACATGAGTGTAGTTTTAAGAGCAGTTCTTTGAGTTTCAAAACAGTTCCTCGGCAATGTTTTCGTAAGAATATCAGTAAGTTGTCCGTTGCCAGAAATATGGTCAGCAAGGAGAACATTTATTGCATCTCTTATCTAACATTATGCTTAGTTCTTTGATAATATTCTGGGCTTGTAGTTAAGCAAACAAGACTTTAGCCATCCATCTTTAATAAAAAGATGTCGTTTAGTGGTGCTATGTCTGTAAATAGCCATTTCAGCCTTATCACATCCTTGGTAGCTTCAGATATGCCTAAGGACTGTTGTCAGTGACTAGTCCACTGGTGGAGTCAGTGGAGCTATCTAGCTGATAGCTCCACCACTACGTTTAAATACCACACCAGACACTGATTTGCGAGTGCTACAATCATTTGCATAATCGGCATTATTATATGCTTCAGAGATTCCAGGCTTGAAATCTCTTTGAATCGATATTCCGAAACTAAATGTACCTATGATATATTTCAAGACTCTCTTAGTAATTGACCAACGTGATCAGCATTCTCTAGAAATTGTAAACAAAATGACATTACGAATATGTTTGTTCAGTTAACCGCAGCTAAATGCATCAGATACAGCCTGTTTGTAAGGAATTTTCTCAGAATTTATCCATCTAACATTTTTATCTTCCCCTTCAAGTTGATACTTCTTAACCGGTGTGATTTGTAATAAACATTTAAAATTTCTTTAAAATTTTGGTAGCATAATTCGGTTGTATAATAAATTTGTCATTATTATCCAATCTCTTTATCTTTAGGTTTAGGCAAAAGTCTTCACCTTTATAAGTTACTTTAAATTCTCCTTGCGATTCTTCAACCTTCAGAGGGATTTATAAGAACTATGTCTTATTTTTTCTTCATTCATTGCAGTGTGCCA